TCATGAGCCACTCTGGCAGGAGCAGATGGGCTCAACTGCTCAAGTGCCTTGCCTATGGGTGCTGGAGCCACGAGCTGATCCGCTCTGGGGCATGGAGCGAGCAATACAGGGCAGCCAGGGAAATGGAGCCAACTGATAGGGCAGCCCTGCTGATGCCCCTCTCTACCAGCCTGCAGTCCCTGCTATCCCAGCCCTGAGCTCAGCCCCCTGGACTCAGACTTTGGGGCCAGAACTGACTGCAAGGGGCACATGCCCCCTACTGAGCCCCTGTCCTGCTCCCTGCAGCACAGCACCCCCTAGCATGGGGGTCAGCCCTCCAGGCCTGCGCATTAAGAGTGACAGACACAGCTGCTGATGGAAGCATTAAGGTTTATTGAGCGACTGAAGGATTCAGGTGCATCTTGAGCTTCCGCACTGGCTCCGTGGGGCCCAGGGCCTGCTTGCCTGGAGTGCAGGCAAACAAGGTGCAGGGGTGGTGCAGAACAGGCAGGTTAGAGCCCATCGTCAAGCCCCAGCTGAGCCCTATCAAGGCCCAGGGCTTCACCATCCCTGCCAAACACTACATGGCCCCAAGCAGTCCAGACCACTGTCCTGCTGGCTTCAGCCTCTCTGGGAACAAGAACACGAGCCCCCATAGACGGATGGAGCACTAGAGAGAGGAAAGTCTTAAAGGTGCCACAGGACTCTCTGTTGCTTTTTACAGATCCAGACTAACACAGCTACCCCTCTGATACTAGAGAGAGGAAACAACTCACTCACTCATGCCAGGGGCAGAGCCAGGAATTGAACCCAGGAGTCCTGATGCCCAGCCCCTGTTCTAATCCGCTAGACCCCACTTCCCTCTGGGGCAAAAACCCAAGAGTCCATGCTCTCAACCCCCAGAGGGGAAACACAGCACCGTGTTCTCGGATGGAGGGTGTGCTTTATACCCCTAAAATCTGCAGGAGATTCACGCTGGAGTCTGATTCGTGGGTGAGCCCTGAAGAGCCCCCTGACATGCTCTCCCTGCCCTTGCACCTCTTACTCACCCACAAGGGGGCCTGTTTGGCCACCTAGCCGCAGTGCTGGGGATGCCGTCGAGGGGCAGATTAGTGCCCACGGGCAGGGCTGTGTGTTTGTCCTGTGGAGAACTGGGCTGAGACCCTGCAAACGTGCCTTACACAGGGTGGATCCAGACCAGAACTGGCATCCCCGAGAGGGGAAAGGCCCCATGTCTCAGTCCCAGACCACCTGCCCCATGGCTGGATTGGAGCCAGCCCCCCTAGCGTGGAAAGGTTCCACGTTAAATCTGCTTAACGGTCCTGTTGCCCCAATGCCTGCTCTGGGGCTTATGTGCCGAGGCTGCAGCTCTAGCTGCTTCTTGCACAAAGCAGTGAGGTGGGGGCAGATTTACCTGGTGCATGTGTTGGGATGGGGGTTCAGAGGGTATCTCAGCCCCCTGAGCTGTCCATCTTATCCCCAACTGCCCATGACCTGTTGGTCTTTGCTGCAAACCTGGCACCCCCAGGGCCCTGGCTCCTGGCCCTGCCACCCAAGGGGCATTATTCCTGCCCTGGCAGCTCTAGGAGACACCCCCCCATTCTGGGAGCCCCTGGAGCCAGAGAAGTGCAGGGCTGGGGGCTGTGCTGCACCCCAGTGCATGCTGGGACAGGACTGCAGGGTCTATGGGCACCACCACGATGCATACCATGCAGCTCAGCACTGCTGTCTGTACCCCACCCAGCTCTCTCAGCCGCTCAGGGAGTGGGACCTCTCCTCCTGTGGCTGCTGGCTGGATCCCTCTCTGAATCACATTCTTCCACGTCATCACTCGGGGAATCCAGGACTCCTGCCTGCCCCCAGCCAGTTCCTGGTCTGTGCTGTTCAGTAGCTGCTGGCACCATCTCTGGTGGCTGCGGTAGGATCCTTCGGCTTGCTGGGAGGGCGCATTGAGACTGGGCTGCTGAACTGACCTCCACAGGGAGGGGGCATCACTCGAGCCCATGGTGGCCTGGCACTCAGCTGCGGGAGGCAGGGTGGCCACACTAGGCTGGGATGATGAATACTTCTAGAGCAGGGATAGGCAACCTATGGCACACATGCCGAAGGCGGCACGCGAGCTGATTTTCAGTGGCACTCACACTGCCCAGGTCCTGGCCACCGGTCCGGGGGGCTTTGCATTTTAATTTAATTTTAAATGAAGCTTCTTAAACATCTTAAAAACCTTATTTACTTTACATACAACAATAGTTTAGTTATATATTACAGACTTCTAGAATGAGACTTTCTAAAAACGTTAACATGTATTACTGGCACTCGAAACCTTAAATTCGAGTGAATAAATGAAGACTCGGCCCACCACTTCTGAAAGGTTGCCGACCCCTGTTCTAGAGCCTAGGAGGGAAAATCATAAGTGAGCCAGAGAAATTAAAGCCCCATTAATGGCAGAGGCCATAATAGAACCCAGGCATCGGAGCCAGCGCCTGATCTTCCAGACACCCAAGAGCTCCTGTGCCACCCTCAGAGCCAGACAGCCTTTATTCCTATCAATGAAAGGCTCTCACTCTCCCCGGTATTGAACTCAAGTCAGATCACTCCAAAACCTCAGCTGTGTTTGGCGGAACAAGGAAACCACAAAGAGCAACATCATAGTGGGATTCAACTGGTCTTTCAGCCCCACACCAAGCCCCTGCTCTGCAGCCAAGCGCCCCCTACTGAGACCCCTGTGTGTCTCAGGGACATCTCCCATCCCCCTATGCTGAAGGCTGGGGCAGGATCCCATGTCAGACCCCAAGGTGGGCTTGTCCCCTCACCTGTTCTTGGTTGAGGCTGCCCAGTCCTGCTGCTGGTGGTTCCTGAACCAGTTTCTCACATGGGTGGGGGGTGAGGCCAGTGGCCTGGGGCAGGTGGCACTTGCCAGACAGGCTGGAGTCCTGCAGCAGGTTCTGTGTCAGCTCCTGGGGACAGATGGGGATGGGTGTCAGTGCAGGAATGAGGCAATGGGGACTCCCCTGTGCCCCACCTTGATGAACACCCCCCCACAAGCAACACATGGTCCCCTACAGAGTATTCCCCATCCTAGATGGGATCATCTCCTACAGTCTATTCTCTCTGCGGCGGGTGGCGGGCAGGATCATCCCCTACTGTGATGGACAAAGCACATAAGTGCCTTCAGCACAAGTTTGCACTAGAAGGGCACTTGTAGTTTTACTGTTAATCAGGCAAGCTTCCTTTGAACTGGGCAAGGATAGTCGAGACTAATTTGTAATTAACTTGATTCATATTGCACTTTCCCTCTATCAGTTGCAAATAACTCGAAGAAGGAGTGGATGAGCCCACCCCAACCCCCCAAGGGAGGAACAGACTGTAGAGAGGATGATCCCACAGGATAAACATGCCCATTTTACAGATTGGGATCGATGTACAGAGGTGTTATGTGATCTGCCCAAGGTCACATAGTGAGTCAGTGGCAGAGTTGAGACTAAAACCCAGGTTTCTTGACTGATGCCCTGTGTACTTAGGAGCAAAACGTCATTAGGAATATGAGTGAAAATATGAATTAGGACTGACCGCGCCAATAAAGCCAACTTGGCCTGTGTAACCGGTGACAACAATGGGGCTCTCTCGCCCCCTCTCCTGGCTAGTCCTCAGAGATTTGAGTCAGCTATAGTGCTTGAGCTTACTGTATTTCAATTGAGCAGCAAAGGCTCATACTTCTAGAGCCAGTTCACTTGCTCTGCTGCTGTCCCCAGCCAGGGGCATCAGGTTACGTGTGCATCAAACAGCAGCGTAACGAATATGTCCTGCCAGACAAACACTGACTCCTGGCCAATACATCCTACTATGGGCCAGATGCTCACGTACAACCGAAAGGAGCAGCCCCCTAGTCAGGGTGTGTGCGCGCAAAGGTAGCTTGAAGTGCTGCTGGGCTGGACTGCTTGATCCTGGCGGTGACAGGTCCAGGTGACAGGAGCCTGTCCGCCCATTCGGGTCAAACATGGCAGAACTCCCCTAACAGCTGCCATTTTTGCATGATTTTGACCCAACATGGCAAAAGTTTCACACCCGCTATGCAAGCGTGCTAGGCCATGAAACGTGGTCTCAGCCTAGCGCCCTGGTTCAGCCTCAGAGCCAGCTGGCGAATGCTAGCCGAAGCCATAAACCTCTTCCTCGGCCCAGCAATAGCTCTGCTTCATACCGCTGGCATGTGTTGCTTAACAGGTCTTGGCTGTATTTAGTGGCTCCCCGTCTTCCACCCTTCTCCCCTGTGTTTCTCCTGGGGAGCCCCCTTCCCTCCAAGGGGTTAGTAAAATGCTGGGTTTCCAGGCTCTCCCAAGCTCTTCTCATCCCAATGCATTAGTACAAAGTAAAACCCAACCTCATGGCACATGCACACGAATGAGGTCCCCAGCACCACATTCTAAGTGGGGCCTTAGGGGCCCAGTTTCTTAGGGAGTAGTGCAACCACTATTTTAGAAAGAAAAGGTGCTCTCATTCCCGTCGTAAGGGCCCATCCGTTCTGGGGGCGTCTCACTCACTTGTCAGGACTGGGGTTGCTCGGGGCCAGAGTACACCAAAGCACTAGGGTACCCATAGCATGCCAGGTGTAGCGCCACTCGGAGGCATGCGCTGTAGGTGTACAGCTCGGTCTGGTAGGCGCTATCTCCACTGGGTTCTAATAATCACTGAGCCACGTGGCTGAGTGAAAGGATATTTTACTAGGGCTGGCAGGAAAGGGCAGAGGTTGCACCCCCCCTCGGCACAGAGGCTTAACCAGTTACATTTCAAAATGAGCAATAATGGGTTTTCTTTGGCACCTGGGGGCAGTCCAATTGATTCATAGATTCATAGATTCTAGGACTGGAAGGGACCTCGAGAGGTCATCGAGTCCAGTCCCCTGCCCGCATGGCAGGACCAAATACTGTCTAGACCATCCCGGATAGACATTTATCTAACCTACTCTTAAATATCTCCAGAGATGGAGATTCCACAACCTCCCTAGGCAATTT